GGCCCGCCCTTTTTCACATATTCTCTTGTTCCTGGTATTTTAAAAGGGACCCCGTTTCCCACGCTCCTTTTTCCGTTTCCTATCTAAGGGAACCGCCTACTCACGAAATTTTTCTGTGTTCCTTCTTACAGGGGGAACAGCACGCTCAAGTTTGTTAAGGGCTACAGGGGGCACGCCCCACGCTAGAAACCTGGTATAGGCATAAAAGGGAACATACCCCAGTAAAAACTGTGTTCACAGGTCTTTCAGGGACACATCCCACCTACAGTAATAATCTGGTCACTAGGTCTAACAGGGACAGTTAAAGTCACAGTAAAACTTGTTCACTAGGGCTTTCAGGACACGTCCCACCCCAAGTAATACTCGGGGTTCATAGGTCATAAAGGGGAAAAAGTCCCCCCCTACAGAACTCTGTGTTCACTAGGTTTAAAAAGGGGCCAGTCCCACGCTCCAGTAAAACCCGTGTTAAATAGGCTATAAGGGAAACCCGTCCTACGCTCAAGAAATATCTGTTTACTAGGTCTAAAGGGGGGCAGTCCACGTCACAGTAATACTTGTGTTCCTAGGTTTACAGGGAACAGTTTCGCTCACAGTAATATCTGTGTTCAGGTCTATACAGGGGGAACAGCCCAGTCACCGTAATACTTGGTCAAGGGCTTACAGGGAAAAAGTCCTACGCCCAGAATAATCTGTGTTCACTAGGTCATACAGGGACACAGTCCCCGCTCACAGTAAAACTTGTTTCACTAGGTCTAAAAAGGGGAAAAGTCCCACGCTCACGTAATATCTGGTTATGGTCTTTAAAAGGGGGAAAAGTCTAGTCCAGTTACCGTGTTCCTGGTTTTCCCCGGGGGGTCCCCACCTCCAGAATACTTTTATTTTAAAAACCGTTTATTTCCTTTCAACCAACAGGCCCCTTGAGGGTTTTGTGTTTTTTAGGAATTTGGGTATTGGGAGGGGAAAAGGGGGCACAGGTTAAACCCACTTTTACTGAGTTTTTTTTCAGCCCGGGAATTTAGAAAGGTTTTAAGAAAAACTTTTTTAAAAATGGTAATGGTGTAGGGGTGTGGGTTTAGGGTGTCCCAAATAACCCCCTTCTTGTTTTCCCCCTTCCCTCCCAGAGAGTTATCAGAGAGAAAAAGAGGGGAGGGGGGGAAAAAAAAAAAGGCAAAGGAAAAAAGAGGAGAGGGGAAAAAGGAGAAAAAAAAAAAAGGGGAAAGAAGGGAAAGAGAGAGAGGAGAAAAAAAGGGAGGGAAAAAAGAGAGAGGGAGAGAAAAAGGGAGAGGGAAAAGAGGGGAGAGGGAGAGGAGGGGGAGAAGAGGGAAAAAAGGGGGGGGGCGGAGGAGGGGGAAAGGAGGAGGGAAAAAGGGGGGGGGGCCCCCGGGAAAAAGGGGGAAGGGGGGAGAAAAAAAAGAAGGGACAAAAAGAAGAGGACGAAGGGGGAGGGGGAAGGGGAGGGGAGGGGGGGAAGGGGAAAAAAAACCCAAGGGGAAGGGGGGGGGAGGGGAAAAAAAAAGAGGGGAGAGAAGGGAGAGAGGGGAGAAGGGGGAAGGGAGGCGAGAGAGCAGAAGGAAGGGGAGAGGAACGGGGGGAAGGAAAGGGGAAATGGAGGGAAAAAAGGAAAAAAACCCCCCGAGAGAGGAAGAGAGGGGAAAAAGGGAGAAAAGGAAAGAGGAGAAGGGGGAACATTTTAAAAAAGGGGAAAAAAAAAGGGAAATAGGGGAGGAAGCGGCAGGGCCCCGAAAGCGAAAGGGAAAAAGGAAGGAAAGGGGGAAAAAGGAAAGAGAGGACAAAAAAACCCAAAAAAAAGGGGAAAATCCCAAACCCAAAAACAACCTTCCCCCCCCTCTCCCCCCCCCCCCCCCTATCTCGCCTCTCTCTCCCCCTCTCTCTTCCCCTCTCTGTCTTCTCTCTCTCTTCCTCATCCTATCCAGGTGGAGCTGTTGACCTCTCTGAAGTCTCTCCATAAGCATGTGGAGGTGTCTCAGCTGCCTACTGAGTTTGACGGATCCTTCCCCTTTTCTCAAACCGCCTGGGTCTGCTTCAGAACGGTACAGACATACACACAGCACCACAGACCCCTGGAGCTTGTAGTCTTCTCTCTGTCTGTTGTAGTTTTACCTGTTTTCCAACGAGCACTGCTGCTCGAGATTTATTTGACCATTTTTAAAACTCAATACAACCACACATGTGGATAATGATTTTAAAGTCATCAAGGATGACACAAACAAGTTTGAAAAACGTATTTCCATTGTGGTCCTCTTAAATAAATGGTAAAAACATGAAGGAACATCGACATGGTAGTCCTAGGGTAGACGGTAGACCTACTACTGGTTACACATACAGCACATAATAAAACAGGACAGGACCACATGGACCACAGTCTAGAGCAGCCCTCTCAGGTTCCTAAACCCAGTTAAATTATGGTTTGATGACGTGAAGCCAGGTGATGGTGATGGAGTTGTCTTGCTGACCCTGATGTTATCCTCAGCTCATCCTCTCTGGGCAGGGCCGGTCCTTGCCGTTCTGCCGGCATAGGTTGGGACCAAAAAAACGACGCCTCCCGCAAAACTAGAAAAGCAAAATGACGTTGAAATTTTATTTTATTTTACAGACGTTGAAGTTTGGTTCAGTTGAGGTTCTGAATGAAAGGTGAAAAGGTATTTTCCGTATGTTTAAAATACAACATTTTCCATATGTTTTAAATATTTTCCAGGACATTGAAAAAGCATATTTTCCAGACGTTGAAAAATATGTATTTACTGGATGTTGAAACCAGGTTAATTTTTGGTTCTGAATGAAAGTTGAAAGAAGTAATTTGTATATGTATATGTTTGGGCCAAATCAGGGCTGGTCCAGACCGGACAAAATCTGATCCAAACAGAGACGTTTATGATTGGTTCAGATTTGGTCCGGACAGGACCAAAAACCAATGCTGTGCAGTGGAAATCAAGGGCCGGTCCGGAACTGACCCCAAAGAGAAGTCCAAAAAGGGGTTGGCGGTCGGTTTAGTGCTATGGGGTGAGCTACAGCGTCCTGAAATTTGGGGTGTTTTAAAGCCATCCATGTGGAGGCCCCCCCCCCTGGGAAAACAGCCCATCCATATGGTAGGCCTACCGTTGGTAAAACAGGCTGTCCATATGGTAGGCCTACCGTTGGTAAAACAGGCTGTCCATATGGGAGGCCTACCGTTGGTAAAACAGGCTGTCCACTTTTGGTAGGCCTACCGTTGGTAAAAACAGGCTTTTCCATATGTAGGCCTACCGTTGTAAAACGGCTGTCCTTTATGGGAGGCCTACCGTTGGTAAAAACACCATCCCTGTGGAGGGCACCGTTGGGTTAACAACAGCCATCCCTGTGGAGGGCCCCACCGTTGGTGTTTTAAAAAGCCCATCCATGTGGAGGGCCCACCGTTGGTAAAACAGCCCATCCATGTGGAGGGCCCACCGTTGGTAAAACAGCCCATCCATGTGGAGGCCCACCGTTGGTAAAACAGCCCATCCATGTGGTAGGCCTACCGTTGGGAAAACAGCCCATCCATGTGTTAGGCCCACCGTTGGTAAAACAGCCCATCCATGTGGAGGGCCTACCGTTGGTAAAACAGGCCGTTACATTGCCTTTATTAGCCCTGATTCCTGTGACTAATCAATTTGCCTATTTAAGCTCTGAATATCAGCTACCCAACTTTATCAGGAGTTATCGCGAGCCTATTTGCAACGTGTTTACACGGCGGGAAATACAAAAGTATTTTCTTTTTCACTATGATAAACTTGTCAAAAATTTATGGACACAAACTTGAAACCACTGATCATGACAATGGGGTGAAACTCCTGGACAACCGTTGTGATTGTCCATTCCATATTGTCCATGTTATTTTGACCTGTCCTGTTTTTAGGATATATTGTTCGTTAACATGACGGCACATGTTTTGTTTGATTGAGCAACATTTAGGTTAGGCTCTTTGATCGGAGAAACCTCATGATGTAAAAAGTGTCCATCTCATTACATTGTCATACATTTTTATCTCCAGCCTGTAGGCTTCAGAAAAGGCCACATACTCTTTCTACCGTATCCTATATCTGCTACATGATTTATGTTTGATATAGATTTTCTTTTACGGAACGTTGGTGGAGCGTGGCAGCGACGCGATCTCTCCAACAGCACCCTGGAGAGGCGCGCCGGGAATGGACAAGCAAAAATATTTTGCGTCCCTGCCTTTGACAAAGCGGGAACTGCTTGTCAAAAGGGCGGCATCAGCGCTCACCTGAAAACCCCATGTGCCACTGGTTGAGAGAAATTGTCTTTGTTTTTGGGCAGAATTCTGTGAGGTTTTATGTGTTGTTGATGGAGGTGCGTCTTGGCCAGTTTAGCTCAGAAAATGTCGCCCTGGTCAATCAGCCGCCATAGGTAAGTGGCTCTGGATAAGAGCGTCTGCTAAATGACTTAAATGTTAAATGTAAATACGTGGCCGCCTAATCCTGCCTAATGAGCGGGCCGGCTCTGTATTGCTGACGTCCCACCACACATCAGTCCAGAGCAGTAGTCATCCTCACTACGACCTCTCGGACATTTCCACAATGCAGTCAGGTCTCGTTGATCAAGAAGCAGCCGGTGCTGAGATGCATCTTTTAAATACACGCAATCATTAGCCAGCTAGCTAGCTAGCCAAACCAGACAAGTCAACTTGACATCAGCCCGCAACTCCTGTAAAAACAATCAGATCTATCCAATCAACTCAATGACTTATCAAAAATAATCAACAAAAAAACAACAAAAAAACAACAACACTTTAAACATATAAAATAGGTACAAAATGCTAGAGCTCTCTGTTTTAGGCTGCTTTACGGCGCCATGGCAACCACGGAACCAGGTGCCGGTGTGAGTGTATTACCAGAGATGACTAAAGTTGTCTATGCTTTGATATGGCGTGTGTTTATCTGACTGAAGTCTTTGTAAGTTGTCTTTTAATGTGGTTGAACGTTGTGTCTCTGTTCTGACAGTGGTGTGTTGTGTTTCAGAGAGTGGAGCAGCTAACCGGTCACTGTGAGGATGCTGTCAACCTTCTCCAGAGTACCATCACTGGTCTGGAGTCTACTGCCCTGCCAACTACCGCTGAGGTAACTACCGTGTTAAACAACAATCTACACATTAGTTGGAGTCTACTGCCCTGCCAACTACCGCTGAGGTAACTACCGTGTTAATACACACATCTACACATTAGTCTGGAGTCTACTGCCCTGCCAACTACCGCTGAGGTAACTACCGTGTTAATACACACATCTACACATTAGTCTGGAGTCTACTGCCCTGCCAACTACCGCTGAGGTAAACTACCGTGTTAATACACACATCTACACATTAGTCTGGAGTCTACTGCCCTGCCAACTACCGCTGAGGTAACTACCGTGTTAATACACACATCTACACATTAGTCTGGAGTCTACTGCCCTGCCAACTACCGCTGAGGTAACTACCGTGTTAATACACACATCTACACATTAGTCTGGAGTCATGGGCCTGCCAATACCGCTGAGGTAAACTACCGTGTTAATACACACATTACACATTAGTTCGGAGTCTACTGCCCTGCCAACTACCGACTGAGGTAAACTACCGTGTAATACACAATTACACATTAGTCTGGAGTCTACTGCCCTGCCAACTACGTGAGGAAACTACCGTGTTAATAACACACATCTACCATAGTCTGGAGACTACTGCCCTCACTACCGCTGAGGTAACTACCGTGTAATACACCATCTACACATTAGTCTGGAGTTACTGCCCTGCCAACTACCGCTGAGGTAACTACCGTGTTAATACACATATTAGTCTGGAGCAGGGCTGTGGCAGTCATGACATTTTGTCAGCCGGTGATTGTCAAGCAAATAACGGTCTCACTGTAATTGACCATGAATTAACATAAACACATTCAGCATCTGCTAGCTTCCACACATAGCCTATAAGCCACTGATGTAGACCTTTTGAAACATCTACATTTTAAAAAGTCTAATAAATCCATAGCCTACACCATCACAATAAATCACCATTATGTATTTTAGACAGGTCTAAAGAAACAGGAAGAAAATGTAGTCTATTTCAGGCCTTGTTCTGGCTATGCCATATGGCTGTGGGCTACACAAGTTCATTTAGCAGACAAGATTTGCTTAGAATTTCGTGCCGTTATTTAATATTATTTTATAGTATGAAGAATACTATTGAACAAAGCTGAATAAAATATAAAGGATATTTTCTCCAAAAGATTTTAGGGAGTGCGCACATGCGGCTATTCTGTGTTGAGCGGTTAACAAAGAAACAGGTCCTCCTATATGCATAATTTAGAGTTTATTTATGCAACTTTAGTTGTGATCATAACATACAGCCCAACGTTTGTATGTTTAATACATTCCAAGGCTGCGTGGTGCGACTCTAATGATGATTTGAAAAAAGTAGCTTTGTTTTTGGTGCAGGCTGTACACACTTCATCAGTCTCTCATTCACAATTTGACAATCACTTGATAATGCCTCGAATTTCCCGGCTGCATCCCCTTTGTGTGGCCATAATGCCCCCTAAAATAATCCATGCCTTTTGCGGCCAGCGGCCGTTGTGCCCTTGGGCTGAATATAGTAATTATAATTCCCTTCTCTCGGCTGCGTGCTCCGCACCACTCACTAACTTTTAATCTTGTCTTTACATATACTAAATAATGTGTGAAATTTGTTTTGGTAAACGCCCAGGCAACATAGTTGATCTGTTATGAACGTAGAGCTTGTATTTAGTTAGCTAGTTTCACCAAGATATGGATGCATTTTCTCCGGTACAGTTGTAGTGTCTTAATTTGACCACCTTGTTGCAGGACATTTAAAACTTGTAATGTATTTGAGGTTTAAAAGGCTTCTTCTCAAGTTTCCAATTTCTGACTTGATTTTCCCTTACGGAAAATGTATCAACCCCTACAAACATTTTCATTCATTTTAAAATACCAAAAATAATTCCAGTTCCCGGTTTTTGGGAATTTTTCCCTGGCAAAACTCCCCAAATTTAAACCTAACTGTTGGTCAACTATTAGCTTTAAACCAAATACCCAGGGGGTTACATTTTCCCAAACCCAAAAGTCATCCTCCTCCCCTCTCCAACCCCCTTCCTCTCTCCCCTTCTCTGCTCCTTCCTCCACCCTTCCCCTTTCCCCCCCTCCTCCTTTCTCCTTATCCCCCCCCCCCCTCCTTTCCCCCCCCCTCCTCCTTCTCCTCTCTCTCTCCCCTCCTCCCTCCTCAGACCTAGCTCTCTCCCCTTTCCTTCTCCCTCCCTCCTCCGCTCCTGTCCTTCTCTGCTCTTCTCCTCCCTCTCCTCTCTCTCTCCTCTCTCCCCTCCTCCTATCCCCTCTCATGGCATTGCTACCTCTCCTCCTCAAAAATTTCCCCTTCCCTCTCGCCCCCTTCCCCTCTCTCTCCTCCCTACCCCCTTTTAACTATCTCCTTCTATCCTCATTAAAAGGCCCCTCCATAGTCCCCCTCCAATCCCCTGCAAATAGTCATGCGCAGAGCCAACAAAACCTCTCCTAGACCCCTTTCCCTCCCCTTCCTCTCTCTATGATCCTCCCTCCCTCTTACCCCCTTTCTCCCCCGCTCTCCTCTCCTCTTCCCTCCTTTCTCTTCTCCTCCCTATCGCCTTTTCCCTACTTCCTCTCCCTCTCTTCTCTGTGTCCGTCACATACTTCCCTATCTCATACATGCCTTAAACCCATCCCCCTCTCGCTCTTTAACCCATAACCCTTTAGCGCGGTCTGGGGAAACTTCTCACCTCCCACCCCCTCTTGCCTCCTTCCCCCCTATTTCCTCCCCCTTTTCCCCCACTTCCCCCTCTCTCCTCTCTCCCTCTCTCTCCTTTCCTCTAACCACAGACCAGACCGTAAGTATATCTGCTGGCCTGGCAGTTCATCTAATCTGTGTGACTGGGCCTCAGCTATTGCTCCAGAGGGGGCCAGGCTTTATTACTGCCGTCTGTCTGAAGGAGGTGATGGACTCAGGGAGAGGAGAAAGGAACCCCTAGGGAATATATTTTACCATGATTCATTTAGGCAGTAAGGCCTTGGACAGCTTGTATTTCATTTAGCTTTAAATGGTCTTGACGATGGGGCATTGGTTGCTGTTTGCCCTGTCTTGGTTGCTGTGTAGAGAACCTCACAGTCGTGGTCAAAAGTTTTGAGAATGACCCAAGTATTGGTCTTCACAAAGTTTGCTGCTTCAGTGTTTTTAGATATTTTTGTCAGATGTTACTATGGTATACTGAAGTATCTCCCGAGTGGCGCAGTGGTCTAAGGAAAAAAGGCTGTGCCACTAGAGATCCTGGTTCGAATCCAGGCTCTGTAGTAGCCGGCCGCGACCGGGAGACCCATGGGGCGGCGCACAATTGGCCCAGCGTCGTCTAGGGGAGGGAATGGCCGGCAGGGATGTAGCTCAGTTGGTAGAGCATGGCGTTTGCAACGCCAGGGTTGTGGGTTCGATTCCCACGGGGGGCCAGTATGAAAAAACAAAATATATAAAAAATGTATGCACTCACTAACTGTAAGTCGCTCTGGATAAGAGCGTCTGCTAAATGACTAAAATGTAAATGTATAATTACAAGCATTCCATAAGTGTCAAAGGCTTTTATTGACAATTACATTAAGTTTATGCAAAGAGTCAATATATGCAGTGTTGACCCTTCTTTTTCAAGACCTCTGCAATCCGCCCTGGCATGCTGTCAATTAACTTCTGGGCCACATCCTGACTGATGGCAGCCCATTCTTGCATAATCAATGCTTGGAGTTTGTCAGAATTTGTGGGTTTTTGTTTGTCCACCCGCCTCTTGAGGATTGACCACAAGTTCTCAATGGGATTAAGGTCTGGGGAGTTTCCTGGCCATGGACCCAAAATGTCGATGTTTTGTTCCCCGAGCCACTTAGTTATCACTTTTGCCTTATGGCAAGGTGCTCCATCATGCTGGAAAAGGCATTGTTCGTCACCAAACTGTTCTTGGTTGGTTGGGAGAAGTTGCTCTCGGAGGATGTGTTGGTACCATTCTTTATTCATGGCTGTGTTCTTAGGCAAAATTGTGAGTGAGCCCACTCCCTTGGCTGAGAAGCAACCCCACACATGAATGGTGTCAGGATGCTTTACTGTTGGCATGACAAAGGACTGATGGTAGCGCTCACCTTGTCTTCTCCGGACAAGCTTTTTTCCGGATGCCCCAAACAATCGGAAAGGGGATTCATCAGAGAAAATGACTTTACCCCAGTCCTCAGCAGTCCAATCCCTGTACCTTTTGCAGAATATCAGTCTGTCCCTGATGTTTTTCCTGGAGAGAAGTGGCTTCCTCGCTGCCCTTCTTGAGACCAGGTCATCCTCCAAAAGTCTTCGCCTCACTGTGTGTGCAGATGCACTCACACCTGCCTGCTGCCATTCCTGAGCAAGCTCTGCACTGGTGGTGCCCCGATCCCGCAGCTGAATCAACTTTAGGAGACGGTCCTGGCACTTGCTGGACTTTCTTGGGCGCCCTGAATCCTTCTTCACAACAATTGAACCTCTCTCCTTGAAGTTCTTGATGATCCGATAAATGGTTGATTTAGGTGCAATCTTACTAGCAGCAATATCCTTGCCTGTGAAGCCCTTTTTGTGCAAAGCAATGATGACAGCACGTGTTTCCTTGCAGGTAACCATGGTTAACAGAGGAAGAACAATGATTTCAAGCTCCACCCTCCTTTTAAAGCTCCCAGTCTGTTATTCTAACTCAATCAGCATGACAGAGTGATCTCCAGCCTTGTCCTCGTCAACACTCTCACCTGTGTTAACGAGAGAATCACTGACATGATGGCAGCTGGTCATTTTGTGGCAGGGCTGAAATGCAGTGGAAAAGTTTTTTGGGGATTAAGTTCATTTTCATGGCAAAGAGAGACTTTGCAATTAATTGCAATTCATCTGATCACTCTTCATAACATTCTGGAGTATATGAAAATTGCCATCATAAAAACTGAGGCAGCAGACTTTGAGAAAATTAATATTTGTGTCATTCTCAAAACCTTTGACCACGACTGTAGTCAGGAGACTTAGTCAGGATTGTGACACACTGATCTATATAGATGTAGGGTGTGTCTTGGCCTCGGTAGCTCTCTCTCTGCATCTGGTTTTCAGGGGAAATGGAAGAGAGCCTGTGATGCAACTTCCGCTTTTGGCCGTTAACAAGGTGATACTCCATCTTAACTCCTCCATTTACTGAATTGGTTGAACAGAAGAGAACCTCCCCCGATAGGTTTTGGTTGTGTTCTCATCAGGACCAGAATGTGGGGCATCCTGCTCAGGTGTTTCTTTTACGCCTGCTACCTTAGGTTTATCAAGACCTGTCCTCCCATACAACAGTCCCTTCCTCTCTACCAACCATCCTCCTCTCTCTACCATCCGAAGCCGATGTGAGATCGCGGGGTCTGCAGTGGTTACTCTCTCATTCTCCATCAAAGCGGCCTCCAGAAGAGAGCCCTAGGACAAGGCACATGACGTCCTGCTGCTACGGAAGAGAGAGTAACGACAGCAGAGGAGAAGAACGCAATAGGCCGCCGTGAGACTACGCGCGAACCGTGGATCAGCGCGAGAGTCCTAGAGGGAGAGCGAGCAGCGGGCTACGAGAGGCGTAGCGACTGAGAAGAGCACGAAGGGCGACGCCTCAGGCGAATGCTCTAAGCAGCAAGAAGCGCTCAGTCGATGCCTACGCGCAAGAACTCCGGCCAGACGTCTCAGCTACCCGCGTCTCCGCTCCTCGCCTCTCCTCTCCTCCCGTCTCCCTCTCACTCTTCCACTCCCTCCCCTCCCTCCCCTCCCCTCCCTTCCCTCTCCTCTCCTCTCCTCTCCTCTCCTACTACTCTTCTCCTCTTCATCAATTCATCTCTTTCCCTTCTATTTTTCTTCCTCTCTATTCCTCCTCGTGGCGTACAGAGAGAGACCTTCAGCCAACACACACACACACACACACACACACACACACACACATTGCGTCCAGAGGCTGAGCCCCAGAAAAACAAACCTGTGTTAAACACTTAAGATCAACTGCAAGCGTTCATGTCTCCTCCCAGTCTCAGTGATTTGAGCTATTTGTCTTCTTGACTTCACATACATTCCACAGACATGTTGCAATGATAATAATGATCCCTTTCTCTCAACCACACAGCATATCTCTGTTAGCATATTATTCCCATGTGCTGGCATATTGATCAAGTAACACGTCACTGTTGTTTACCAGCTGTCTCAACCACCTGTTCTCTGAACTAAAGACGTGGTGTTGTTTATCACAGAGTGTCAAACATGGGGCACAAATACAGTGCAAAAATGTTTGTTAGCTGTACAGTACGCCACTTTGGATAGTCCACCTAATCCCTGTGCCTGTATCAAGCTCCAATATCTGTTGAATCATGAATTACTCAATTGAATGGAGGGAAGTGAATCATAGTGGTTTCCTTTCCTTACTTTGACAGCTTTATCTGTAGAACAATAGTCCAATATATTCCTAACTACATTGTTTTACCTGCTATCACATGACTCAACTGTATCTGAGTAACAGTGAGCCAACAGAATGTGTTCAGCCGCTATCAAGGACATATCCTGGTTCTGTCCTGGGGTCACTAGACTGGTACTGTCCAGTATGGTTCTGTCCTGGGGTCACTAGACTGGTACTGTCCAGTATGGTTCTGTCCTGGGGTCACTAGACTGGTAACTGTCCAGTATGGTTCTGTCGCTGGGACACTGTCATATGGTTCGGTCCTGGGTACTGTACAGTCCATTGGTTCTGTCCTGGGGGTCACGTAGACTGGTACTGTCCAGTATGGTTCTGTCCTGGGGTCACTAGACTGGTACTGTCCAGTATGGTTCTGTCCTGGGGTCACTAGACTGGTACTGTCCAGTATGGTTCTGTCCTGGGGTACTAGACTGGTACTGTACAGTATGGTTCTGTCCTGGGGTCACTAGACTGGTACTGTCCAGTATGGTTCTGTCCTGGGGTCACTAGACTGGTACTGTCCAGTATGGTTCTGTCCTGGGGTCACTAGACTGGTACTGTCCAGTATGGTTCTGTCCTGGGGTCACTAGACTGGTACTGTCCAGTATGGTTCTGTCCTGGTCCTGGGGTCACTAGACTGGTACTGTCCAGTATGGTTCTGTCCTGGGGTCCACTAGACTGGTACTGTCCAGTATGGTTCTGTCCTGGGGTCACTAGACTGGTACTGTCCAGTATGGTTCTGTCCTGGGGTCACTAGACTGGTACTGTCCAGTATGGTTCTGTCCTGGGTCACTAGACGGTACGGTAGGTAGCGTCCTGCCTGGGTGGGAACTTAGTGTACAGCCAGTATTTCTGCCTCCTGGGTTTGAACTGGACTGTCGCATATGGTCTGTCGGGTTCATATAACTGGTAGTCCAGTAGGTTCTGTCCTTGTGGGCATAGACTGGTATGTCCAGTATGTTATGTTGGGTCTAACTTCTGTCAGTGGTTGTCCTGGGGACACTAGACTGGTACTGTACAGTATGGTTCTGTCCTGGGGTCACTAGACTGGTACTGTCCAGTATGGTTCTGTCCTGGGGTCCGATACTAGACTGGTACTGTCCAGTATGGTTCTGTCCTGGTCCTGGGGTCACTAGACTGGTACTGTCCAGTATGGTTCTGTCCTGGGGTCACTAGACTGGTACTGTCCAGTATGGTTCTGTCCTGGGGTTACTAGACTGGTACTGTACAGTATGGTTCTGTCCTGGGGTTACTAGACTGGTACTGTCCAGTATGGTTCTGTCGTGTGTCCACACTCCGCCTCCAGGTAGAATAAGCCCTCCCTCCCTGGTAGGGAAGCTGTAGTCTACAGCCAGTATTTAACCCAGGTGTAACCTGGACTAGTCAGAACTCATCTGGTCTGGGAGATTTCTGAGTTATCAATTACAGGAGATATCAGGAGAGTCTAATGAAGACATCCTCTAATGTGGGCCTATTCATCTTGCTATTGCTCACACTAAAATATGAAATTGAAATGTGGTGCAACTCTTCAGGTGTAAAACACACCCTGGCCTGCCTGCCTGCCTGCCTGCCTGCCTGCCTGCCTGCCTGCCTGCCTGCCTGCCTGCCTGTCCTGTCTGTCTGTCTGTCTGTCTGTCTGTCTGTCTGTCTGTCTGTCTGTCTGGTGAGGGAGAGTCAGGGAGAGCCTGTCTGTCTGTCTGTCTGTCTGTCTGGCGAGGGAGACATGACATGATGATTAACAGGTCATATCTGATGTCATGTTTAGGAAGGGTATGATGTGTGTTGTATTTAGAAGAGATCTTCCTATGTGGCGTAATCATCGTATTATTGCTTAACAGTTTTTGTGTGTTTCTCCCATATCAACAGCACATTGAGCGGTCTGGTAGAGTTGAATTACAGGACGGGAGATGTCATGTTTAGGAAGGGTGTTTGGTGTATGTGGAAGAGTTCTGTCAACCCCCCCCTCTCTCTCTCTCTCTCCCCCAGGAGGCCCAGGTGTTACTCGCCAGGTACAGGGGTGTGATGGGTAGCGTCCTGGAGGACACCCGATTGGCTAGACTACAGCTGGAGGGTCGGAGTTCCAACTCTGCTGGCCCCGCCTCCGCCAAAGATGGCAAACCAGTGTCAGCCTCATGACCGACTAGCAGGTCATGATTGCAGTCATTAAACCCATTGGTCAGCCTCACTGACGACTACAGGTAATGATTCAGTCATTAAACCAAGTGTTAAGCCTCACTTGACGACTACAGTAAGATTCAGTTCAATTAAACCAGTGTCAGCCTCCACTGACGACTACATGGGTAATGATTTCATCTCATTAAACCAGGTTCAGTTCTCACCGACGACTACCAGGTAATGATTCAGTTCATTAAAACCAGTTGCAGGTCCCTCAACCGACGACTACAGGTAATGATTCAGTCATGGTAAACCAGTGTCAGCCTCCACCGACGGACTACAGAGGTACATGATTCAGTCATTAAACCAGTGTCAGCCTCACCGACGACTACAGGTAATGATTCAGTCATTAAACCAGTGTCAGCCTCACCGACGACTACAGGTAATGATTCAGTCATTAAACCAGTGTCAGTCTCACCGACGACTACAGGTAATGATTCAGTCATTAAACCAGTGTCAGCCTCACCGACGACTACAGGTAATGATTCAGTCATTAAACCAGTGTCAGCCTCACTGAGACTACAGGTAATGATTCAGTCATTAACCAGTGTCAGTCTCACTGACGACTACAGCTAATGATTCAGTCATTAAACCAGTGTCAGCCTCACTGACGACTACAGGTAATGATTCAGTCATTAAACCAGTTTCAGCCTCACTGACGACTACAGGTAATGATTCAGTCATTAAACCAGTTTCAGTCTCACTGACGACTACAGGTAATGATTCAGTCATTAAACCAGTTTCAGCCTCACTGACGACTACAGGTAATGATTCAGTCATTAAACCAGTGTCAGCCTCACTGACGACTACAGGTAATGATTCAGTCATTAAACCAGTGTCAGTCTCACCGACGACTACAGGTAATGATTCAGTCATTAAACCAGTTTCAGCCTCACTGACGACTACAGGTAATGATTCAGTCATTAAACCAGTGTCAGTCTCACTGACGACTACAGGTAATGATTCAGTCATTAAACCAGTGTCAGTCTCACTGACGACTACAGGTAATGATTCAGTCATTAAACCAGTGTCAGTCTCACTGACGACTACAGGTAATGATTCAGTCATTAAAACTGCAATAAGCTTTTTGGGCGACCCAACCAAATTCACATAGAAATATGAGTTATAGATCTGTCATTGTCATTGAAAGCCAGTCTAAGAAGCGGTAGATCTGTTCTATGTGCGCTATTTCTATGCTTCCTGTTCTTAAGTTTAGTTTTTGCGTCTTTTACTTTCGGTTTTGTACACCAGCTTCAAACATTTGAAAATACAATATTTTTGGTTATGAAAAATATATTTCACAGTGGTTTAGATGGTCCAATGACTCTCTCCACTATACTTCCTTGTTTTGTAAAATAAACTGAAATTAGATGAACTATTAGAATTTTAGCAACCAGGAAATGGCGGAGTGATTTCTGCACATTGCACCTTTAAAGATACACTTGTATCCACAGCAAGTTGACACATGTATACAACCCAGCACCATTCTCCAACCAACACTCTCTCCTCTATATTCTCCCTCATTCGCGTTGTCCAACCTCCCTCTCCTCCATTTCCCCTCTCTTCTCGTTTGTTTGTGACTAAATGGTCCAGTACATCTGGATCCAGGAGTTGTTCACTGGGACAGAGAACTGATTAGGAATGTTTCCTGTCTCCAAATCAGCTGAGAGAGAGAGAGAGTGAGAGAGGAGAGAGAGAGAGAGAGAGAGAGAGAGAGAGAGAGAGAGAGAGAGAGAGAGAGAGAGAGAGAGAGAGAGAGAGAGGAGAGAGAGAGAGAGAGAGAGAGAGAGAGCAGAGATCGAGAGAGAGAGGAGAGGAGAGAGAGAGAGAGAGAGAGAGAAGAGAGAGAGAGAGAGAGAGAAGGAGAGAGAGGAGAGAGAGAGAGAGAGAGAGAGAGAGAGGGAGAGGAGCGAGAGAGAGAAGAGGAGGAGAGAGAGAGAGAGACTATAAAGGAATGGAACTGAGTGTTTTTGCTCTGTCTGAGCCAAGAGGAACCTGTCTTATCTACACCTCCACTATAATCACATTTAAAGAGAGACTAGCTAACTAGCTCCCCCCTCTCCCTCGTTTTGGCTTCCAAGCTAGCCCTCCTCTGTACTTTGACATCCCCTTCTCACAGTCCTCTCGCTCTCCCTTCTCTCTCACTCCCTCTCTACATTCACTCTCTGCCTTCACTCTCTCTACCTCTCTCCCTTCACTCTCTCTCCCTCTCTGACTTCACTTTCTCTCCATCTCTGCCTTCACTCTCTCTCCCTCTCTCCCTTCACTCTCACTCCCTCTCTGCCGTCACTCTCTCTCCCTCTCTGCCTTCACTCTCTCTCCCTCTCTGCCTTCACTCTCTCTCCCTCTCTGCCTTTACTCTCACTCCATCCCCGCCTTCACTCTCGCCCTTCACTCTCTCTCCCTCTCTGCCTTCACTCTTTCTCCCTCTCTGCCTTCACTCTCTCTCTCTATCTCTGTCTGTCTCTCTCTCACTCCATCTCTGCCTTCACTCTCTCCCTTCACTCTCTCTCCCTCTCTCCCTTCACTCTCTCTCCCTCTCTGCCTTCACTCTTTCTCCCTCTCTGCCTTCACTCTCTCTCTCTATCTCTGTCTGTCTCTCTCTCACTCCATCTCTGCCTTCACTCTCTCCCTTCACTCTCTCTCCCTCTCTGCCTTCACTCTTTCTCCCTCTCTGCCTTCACTCTCTCTCCCTCTCTGCCTTCACTCTTCTCCCTCTCTGCCTTCACTCTTTCTCCCTCTCTGCCTTCACTCTCTCCCTTCACTCTCTCTCCCTCTCTGCCTTCACTCTTTCTCCCTCTCTGCCTTCACTCTTTCTCCCTCTCTGCATTCACTCTCTCTCTCTATCTCTGTCTGTCTGTCTCTCACTCCATCTCAACCTTCTCTCTCTCTCTCTCTCTCCTCCCCTGTCTCTCATCTAAGGTGTCTCTGGTCTTTATCAGAGCTCTAGTGAATATTGTTCTGTTGTCTTAATGTCTCCTGTTGTCTTAATGTCTCCTGTTGTGTCTACACCCATAGGGAGCCATTTGGGACCCAGCCTATGTCTGATGTCAGCAGCTAGCAGGGCTTCCCCCTGGTCTTATGTCATGGTGTGATTCAGTCTTTTTCCTTCCTGAGACTAACCCCTCTCCTGATCCCTCTCTGTCACCTCAGGCCCTGCCTGCCACACCCCTCCCAATGCTCAGGAATGTACTCTCCCTACCTGCTCCTGACTAGAGGCCCCTGGAGGGCATTTCCAACTCACTCAGAAATGGGGGGAATGTTTCCCTCTAGTTCCTAACTTCTGGGGCTTGTATGTTTATTTTTCCTGTGGTGGTGGTGGGGTTTGCAGAGTCAGAGAAATGCTTTTTCTGTGTGTTGTGTATTTGGGGTTAGTCTTAAAGGGCCGGTGTCAGAGGAGAAGGCCTAAGCTCTTGTTTTGGAGGAAGTCAGGGCTTATGAGGAGATGAGAGAGAGAGATATAGAAAGGCATGGTGTGATGGACATGGAGGAGGAGTGGAGACATGACAACAAAAAGACTGAGGGGTTTGTTTTGGTTCTGGTCAGCTCTGACACGGACTCCAGGTGAGAGTATTTATTTAACCTTTATTTGACCAGGGCAACACGTTCTCATTTACAGCAACCACCTGGGGAATAGTTATAGGGGAGAGGAATGAATGAGTCAATTGGAAGCTGGGGATGATTAGGTGGCCATGATTGTATGATGGGCCAAATTGGGAATTTAGTCAGGACAGCGAGGTTAACACCCCTACTCTTAAGATAAGTGCCATGGGATCTTTAGTGACCCACAGCGAGTCAGGATACCCAAATTTAACGTCCCATCTGAAAGACAGCAGCCTACACAGGGCAATGTCCCCAATCACTGCCCTGGGGCATTGGGATATTGTTTTAGACCAGAAGAAAGGGTGCCTCCAACACCACTTCCACCAGGATCTGGTCTCCCATCCAGGGACCCAACACCACTTCCACCAGGATCTGGTCTCCCATCCAGGGACCCAACACCACTTCCACCAGGATCTGGTCTCCCATCCAGGGACCCAACACCACGTCACCAGGATTCGGGTCTCCCATCCCAGGGACCCAACACCACTTCACCAGGATATGGTGATCCCATCTAGGGACCCAACACCACTTTTCACCAGGATCATGGTATCCCATCTAGGGAACCAACAACACTTACACAGGACTCTGGTCTCCCATCCAGGGCCCCAAACCACTTCCACCAGGTGCTGGTCTCCCATCCAGGGACCCAAACACCACTTCCCCAGGATCTGGTCTCCACATCCAGGGCCCAAAACCACTCCAACCAGGATCTGCGCACATCCAGGGGACCCAACACCAATTCCACCAGGATTCTGGTAATCCCCATCTAGGGACCCAAACCACTTCCACCAGGATCGGTCTCCCTCCGGGACCCAACACCACTTCCACCAAGGATATCGGGTTCCACATCTAGGGAGCCCAACACCACTTACACCAGTGAATCTGGTCTCCCATCCAGGGACCCAACACCACTTCCACCAGGATCTGGTATCCCATCCAGGGACCCAACACCACTTCCACCAGGATCTGGTATCCCAATCCTAGGGACCCAACACCACTTCCACCAGTTGCATTCTGGTTTAATCCCATCACGGGTGTTTCTTCCCACAACACCACTTCCACCAGGATCTGGTATCCCATCTAGGGACCCAACACCACTTCCACCAGGATCTGGTATCCCATCTAGGGACCCAACACCACTTCCACCAGGATCTGGTATCCCATCTCACCTCCGTAGGGATCACAACACACCACTTCACCACCAGGGATCTGGTATCCCATCTACGGGACCCCAAAACCACTTCAACCCAGATCTGGTATCCCATCCAGGGACCAACCAGGACCAACCCTGCTTAGCTTCAGAGGCAAGCCAGCAGTGGGATGCAGGGTGGTGTGCTGTTTTATAGAAACTGATAACAACCCTTAGTGTCTGAGGGGTCGTTATGAGACATGGTCTTTACCTAAAGACTCTCTGTGTGTCGGTATAGGGCTGTATTGTTCCTGCAGTGACACCACTCTGTGTGTCAGTATAGGGCTGTATTGTTCCTGCAGTGACACCACTCTGTGTGTCAGTATTGGGTTGTATTGTTCCTGCAGGGGACACTCATCTGTGTGTAGGATATGGTTTATGTTCCTGCA